TTATTTTAACAATTGGTTCATGCTTTAGCGTGCACTATCGAGTTATGGAGCACGCGGGAAGTTTGGAGAGCACGAAAGAAGCGTAAGAGTTGCCCGAGGCGATAGCCGAGGGCAACTCTAGCTTCTTGAGTGCTCTCCAAACTTCCCACGTGCTCCATAACTCGATAGTGCACAGCTGAAAGCATGAACCAATTGTTTTAGAACATAGCCGGTAGAATTGTGCATCAAATCCGACGGGAAAAATGGACAACAATATCAGTTGAAGCGAATCGTGACGGCGCTGATGCCGAGTCTCCTTTTCCTTTGTTTTTCTCTTTTTCTGCCTCATTTAAGAACTCTAGCCCAAGGGAAAAGGTCGAAACATTGTCTTCGTTTTCGGACTAGTAGGCCGAGTTTCTGTTTGTATCCATTATTGTCGCGAAATATATTATTTTTCCCGCGCTAACAATCGGCCGCTCGCGCGAAAAAAAAATTTCTGGCGAAGCGATTTGCTGACGCCGTCAGCGTGCACTATCGGGATTTTGAGCACGCTTACAAATATTGAATTTGATTGCGCGGTTCTGCTAGCTATGTTCTAAAAATTCTGAATCACTTAAAACTCATCTTTCTATGAGTTTTAGGAAAATCCGTTTAGGCAACTTCAGAGTCACCCTAAGGTATTGAAAAACTACAGTTGCTTTGAACTGTGTGGTAGATTTGTTTGAAGTCTTGCAGGACGGTGAACGTTGATCTGTTCATGCAATTTGATAACCAAGTGCAACGCAAAAAAAAAATTAGCGAAAACTTTTATGGAGTCTCCTGTTTTCCTTCGGAAAGCTTACTTGAACGACAGAAAAGAATCATAATACCGGTCGGATGAGCAATATGAAAAATCTGTATATTCGTCTACTGACGGCTTTGATATGAATGCGACTTCGTCCATTAGAAAAGGTTCGATCCTACCATTTTCAAAAAAAATTAATGAAAAGATATACAAGAATCGGTCCGCCAGAGAACTAGAGCTTCAAAGTATCGAGACCCACCTTGATAAAGATCAATGCGAGAGCTCATTCCAAATGAATTTGAGTGAAGTTTTGTTCCGTATAAACAAATATACTTTTGTCAATAGATATTTTGAATTCTGAGGCAAGTTTTAATAGCTTTATTTCCTTCACGAGTTTAAGTTTAAACAAATGTCTTACAAAATCTTATACAGTTGATTCAAGCATAAATACGTTTGAAGTATTTACTATTTTACGTTCGAATTATTTTCTAATAAAGGGAGCAATTAAAGACATTCGACGACTAAACTCGTCCGAACTGCTTTGGGTGAACCACCACTTTCACCTCTGGTAAGAATCTTTATTTTCATAAGCACTTAAGCTGAAGTTATTTCTCGGCCCTCTTCGACAATAACGTCCCAATCAATGTTTACAAAATTATGATTTTTGGAAAACGTGGTATTTTGGTCCTGTAACTGTTCTTTCTGGAAGCAATGGTGGACTTTTCTCCGTGATGAGGCAAGACATCACGCTGAACATTGCTGCAATAAGATGAGTCAAAGTGTCCTTTGCTCACATCGTTTGCAAACTCTGACCCGACGTTGCCAAGAGGTCTGTAGCGGGCAACTATGAAGGTACAATTCATGCCAAATTTGGTCCCTGTAGCTTTGCCAACGCCTAACTCTCTTGTAGCATTCCATACAAGCTGAGAGAAATGACCAGACTTGTCCTGGTAAGCCTGATTGTAGAAATTGTGACTACATACCTCATCATACCTGATAAATAAGAAAAAGCAAAGGAGCAGAAACTATTAACGATGAATGCAGCTTAAGGCGACCTCTTCTTGTCCAATGGTTGCGTATAAGGAACTTTGCGGTAAATTCAGATAAGTTCTTTTTTCAAAGCTAGCGACCAGAAGTGTAACTATTCCTTAACTAGAGGTTTTCCCTTTAATTTTACTGAGATCTCCAATGATATCTAATTGGCTAGTGTCCGTTTGTGGGTGGTCAAAGAGCAACGCGGGGAGGTAACAACATTAAGAAGATCAACACTCTCCAAAAATGTCATTATCAAATAAATTTTACGAATTCATTTACGAGTTTAATTTTTGCATCAGACCCTTTTAGGTTTACGCTTTCTTTAATTGTCTTCTTGAGCTCGAGTAAATTGCAAGAGGGAAAACGTTTAAGTATAGAATGGCTCTCACCATTCCTTCGCCGCATCTTTAGCTGTGATCCCAGGGCCAGAGGAGGTGCATCCCATGGCCAAGTTTTCCCCTTGGTCTGGGCGGCTGGCTTTGTCTGAATGCCGTAGGTTTGCTTCCGCTGCAAGTTGAATCGCGAGAGCCTTTGCTTGGAGCGACATGTTTCTGTTCTTCATCAGAGGAGCAGCTAGATGAATTGAACGGAGCTTGTTATGTTCCTCTGCCATTTCGTCCAGAAACTCTTCATCTGGAAGAAAACATATCCCTATACCATCTTCTCGAATTTTTCAACGTTTTTTCCTGCACACCAGCCAGGTGTCCTATACCACACAAGCTAAGCATGAAGGCACCATAAATGCTATTGTTACTACTTACGATCTGCTCAATAGAATCTTATCCCCTTGCAGTTTCCCCTGAACATGTTACCCAGTTTACACAGAATTAAGTGCGTTGCGCATGCCTGATAGCGCACCAGAATGATCCTATAATCGGCGACAAAATTGTTGACACGTTGATCTTTTCAACCCCCTTAATACATCCATTTTATCTCTTTTGCCCTCGTGAAGCTAGCTTATTCCCCCTCCCTCTCCCACATGCCCAAAACAATGTTATATCGTGATTCTTCAATATTTCGGATCCTTTACCAAATTTCCTGTCATTTGACCTTAATTTTGTACCAAAAACACAATTTTATTCAGTTCTACATATCGTCCCTGGCGAAATAAAATTATGAAATGCCAAAGAAATAACTAGATATATATGTGTTTGTGTGTGTGTGTGTGTGTGTGTGTGTGTGTGTGTGTGTGTTTGTATGTATATGCAGAGTGAGCATCGTTCAAGGTATCATTTTATTGCCCTTACACGTATCCAAACATCGGCATTATCTAATGGGAACTTTGGCAACTTTTGAGCGATAATTAAAAAATGCCTCTTGATGGACTCCCCTACCTTCTCTTGTAAACGAGAGCTCTGTTTCTGTGTGATCACTCTGAGCTGTTTTGAGTGAATTTACCGGAGCTGGTTTGTCCGCTGCGATGACAACCTCTTGTTTTTGAGCCATTTCTCCAACAACCATGTGAAGGTTGATTTCTGACGTGCCATTGGCAAGTGTAAAGGTACCTTCACCGTTAATTCCATTACCTGTGATGTTGAAGTTTCCATCCGCCAGGTTGATAGCAGCTAGAACGTATTAAAGGAAAAATATCGGAAACTTAAGTGATTTTCTACTCCAAGTTCTGACCACTATTTTGCCTCACGGTGACCTGATACTGGCTTATATTAATATATGTCTTTGTTCATTTAGTGTAGCCCGAATAGCACAAATGGCAGGCTTTAACCCCATGCATATTATGAGAACAACCCCAGTACTCATCAGCTACAACTGATATGGGTATCTGTAGTCTTTGGTAAATTAAGCGAGGCAAGCGAGTTTGGCAAAGTGCAGGACCGTGATACATTTACCGCTTACCTCCTTGTGCGACAACCAACCAGGTTGATAGCAAAATAAACTCCTTGACACAACTGACAGTTCGTGACATCCTCCTGAATTAGGAAAAAATAATCCAGTCTGTCATACTTTGTCATACTCGAACTTTGTGGTAAAAAAGCGGTCGCACTTTGAAATAAACTTGATACATATGGTCAGAGGAAGAGTTCACTTTACACTAAAACTAGCAAGATAACATTAACAACACATGCAAAGAGGAAGAACGTAATGTAATAACACCTTACACTTACGTAGAATCCGATAGTACAGATAGCAGACAATTTCCAAAACAAACTCTTGTTATTGTATACTATCTTGAGGTCCAGAGATCGTCCGTGTCTCGATGGAGTTTACTTAGTTGAAGCTGCTGTTGGGGTCTCGGTCGTGGGACACGTTATCATTTTTGTCATTCTTGTTAATGTTATTGTTACTATTATTATCATTATCATTACTATTATTGTTATTATCATTATTATTATTAACATTTTCATTCTCGTCATTATCAATACCACTATAGCTATTACTATTTATTACAAATTTATTTATTTATTACAAATTCACTCTACAAGAATACACAAACAATTAGTATTAATTACAATTAAGGTTAATAAAAACCATAAAAGGAAAAATTTAGGAGAAGGAGACAACCAAAAGCGCTGACGCACCATACAAGGGATGGCCCCTCTAATTAAAAAACATTTAACATAGCAAAACTATGCATGATGCACGATCCTCGCAGTAGAGAGCGCTATTTATGCATATATAGCAAAACTATATAGAAATATAAAAATAGATGCCCTAATTATCCTTATCCTTAATAAAACTTAAAACATTCTTTTTAAAAGTTTCAATACTATCGGATTCTCTAATGTGATTAGGTAAGCCATTCCATTCACCAATGATACAGTTAAAAAAACTATATTTGAGACTGTTAGTTCTGCTAAAATTTGGGACAAGGTCCTGTGTGTCATTTTTCCTCAAATTATAAGCCATGCTTCTGTCCTTACAAAATATGAGCTTATTGGAAATGTCTATGTCATAACGGCCATTAATTACATTGAACAAAAACGTAATATCCCTAATGAACCTCCTATCAGATAATAGCAACAATTTCAATTTAGATAGTCTAGTACCATAATCATCATCAGACCTAGTGATCCATCTGGTAGCTCTTCGCTGAACAGCCTCCAATTTGTCAATGTTACGTTTAGTATAAGGGTTCCAAGTTTCACATGAATATTCCAATAAGGGTCTCACAAGACTACAATAAAGTGTTCTCATGGTTTCAACATCATTTAAGTCCCTACAAGTCCTTTTTACCAACCCTAAAACCCTATTGGTCTTAGCAGTTTTTGAATCTATATGGTG